TGTGTGTGTGTGTGTGTGTGTGTGTGTGTGTTCTCTCTTTGTTTCTTCTGAGCAATGATGTAAGAATTTCTGAACCTGAAAAGTATTTAATCAAAATACATTTCCTGATGGTTTCTACACTTGAACTGAGCTCAGCGAGAACGTTAAGACGTCGGAAAGTAAACAATGTCAAATAAAAATGACCTGTGTGTGTCAGTCTCCTCTCAGGCCTCCTGATCCTGACTGCCTCTCCTCCACCACCATCTCCACCGGCAGCTACATCACCACCGACACTGAGCAAAACGTAAACACTGGTGAGGAGTGTGTCATTTAGCTCACGGGGCGTTACCCAGACTCCACCCCTCCACTGAATGCTTCAGACAGTTTCCTGTCGTTCTGAACGCATCTTTACTGCAGCGGAGCACAGGATCAGTGTTAGAGCCCGAATCATTCTCCTCTTCTCTTCTTCAGATAAATCCCCACCTGACACACTTTGTGAGGAACAAGGAGCTGATGTTCTCGACGTCTCTTCTCCGACCAGTCAACTCTCCTTCATTAAGGACACGTCAGCTGCACATCGTCATGGTGCCGCCGTGCAATCTCTGTTTAACGACAGCAGCATTCAGCGCATCATAGACCGATACACGAGGGAGCTCGACTTCTCCCTCAGCACCGCTGGGAGAACGACAGGTAGATAGGTAGTCGTGCTTCAGTTTAAGAAGGCGTCTTTCACTCGTCAGTTTATATCATGAGTCTTTTTTCCCTCCTCAGACAGTGAAGCCTCGTATGTGCACAAGCCCAGATCTGTGGTTGAAGCCTCAGAGTCGAGAGTGGAGGGCGAAGACTCTGCAGGTCGTCAGACTCTTCCCTCTGGGACTCGAACCCACAGTGACCTGGTCAGTGACTCACAAACCACTTTACCCCGTTAACAAGAACAGGATTTTAACTCAAGTCAGCTTATCTTTTTTTTTGTCACAGGATAGAGACTTTACTGTCAACCCAATCCTGGATCGCTTCTCAGGTGACGCCTCCTCCCAGGCTGAAGACTCTTTCAGGCCTCTGGTTGGCGAGCTGGCAGAGCAGTCATCCTGCCTCGCCGCTGACCAGAGGGACTCGGCCATGGAGCAACTGGTCGGTCAACCGTCGGCTCACTCGTCCATGATCGGTCAGCTTCCAGTGAGCGTGGGTCAAGGTGGATGGGATTCCACTCTGAGTCGGATGATTGGTCGACTCTCCTATCGCTCCAGCTCTAACTGTCAGAGCGGCTGGCAGGACGCGAGTCAGCTGATGGGTCAGATGGTGCCGGAGCAGTCGACCACATGGTTGGACGAAGTTCAGGAGGAAAGCCAGATGAGGCCGCTGGCCGGGGAGCCAGATAACGACCAGCACAGTGAAGTCTCAGGTAACAGAACGGGTCGTGACTGATTCATGTAGTGAGACTCTTCAATGAATGGTCGACAAGACTTGAACCTTTTACTGATTCATTCAATCTGATTAATTATAGAAAATAATCCATCAGATGGTTTGTCTGCTGCTGTTTGTAGGTGAACGTACCCTCATGGATCCCAGTGTCTCAGCTGAGGCCAGTCTGCCGTCACACCCGGTGTTGCCTCCTGAAGAGTTGTCACACTGCGCCACCGTCCCAGCTGCGAGTCTAATTCCAGAAGACCAGACACCACAGAACCGAACCAGTCCGATGGACCTGGACCCTGAAAGGACAGACGGTGAGAAAACAGTGAAATCAAAAGTGACCAAAGAAAAGTTGGTTTTAACACAGGGAGAGAACATTGTGAATATAAATATCTGTATCGTAAGCTGCAGTTCTTTTTCTTACCTGGTAAGAAACTTTAATTTTTCCAGGCTCAGAATCTTTCCACCCGCTGCTGGCTGAGGTCACCCACAACGAAACTGCCGACCCGTCCATGACCTTTCACCTGCTCGCACACAAAGGGCCGTCCTCATCTGAAGGACAGCTGAGCAGCGAGGAGCGCAGTGTTTCCTCACCTCCTGAAGAGTCTGAAACTCACAGTGATTCTTCTGTGGAGTCCGAACTGTCGCCTGAACGCTTCCGCTCAGAGAATCCTGCCTCACACGAACTATCCCAGACCCAGGACTCTGCCCTCGTGCTGGAAGACACCGCGAGTGCAGACGTGGAGCTGACGGCTCTGAGTCTATCAAACTTAATCATGTGTGATAAAGCACCTGCTGCAGGAACATCACATCCAGCAGGAGGCGCTGCAGGAGAGAGCTGCACTTCTGGAAGGCTTCGAGATTCAGTTCAAATCAGTGACGTTCGGGAAGAAACGACGTCTGAGCCGGGTTCCAACCCGAGGACGGATATTCCTCTGTTCCAAAAGATTATGGTTTGTTCCCCTTGTCAGTCATTTAACTTTTGTTACGTGTGATACGTCATCGTCTGAGTTGTCTTCTCATCTTTGCCTGGGTTTCAGGAAGCGGCCTGTGAGAAGGGGATCCTGGAGCAGTCGGAGATAACACTGGTGAGTCTGACGGACTCCACTCAGGACGAAGAGACGACCATTACTGAGGAGGAGGGAGACTGTGAAGACAAAACTCCAGATGAGGAAGGACAGAGAAGCAAAGAGACCGAGGTACTTAAACATCTCGATCAGAGCGGTGACTCACTCTGCACAGGTCTGATCTGAACATGCAACATGTCTCCTGTAGGGGGCAGAATCCACGTTGTTACCGGAGGACGAAGCTCAAACTCATCCAGGTAAAGTTGGACTGAAAATATGCAGCACAGACGAGATCAGTGGCTGAACTGAAGCTTCTGATTCGACCTGATCCAGGAATAAGTTTCCTTTTTTTAAACATGTGAGAGAAACAAGTTAAAACCAGTGTTTAGACGACTGATGTTTGTGAGAAGAATCCATTCTGGTCAAATACAGTAAATGTGGATGTAATCAGGAACAAAAAGAAGTGAGACTTCATCAGATTAAAATTTCAAATATGATTATTTCACTGATCTTTTGTGAACTTCAGTAAAATCCTCCCTCTGCTGTTTCCCTCCCAACATGAAGTGACGGTCCTGGACGTTCACTGGGGTCCGAGCAGACGCCTGCAGCACGCGGAGCAGAAGCGCAGAGCTCTGCTCCAGAGATCAACTCGCCGGGTGGAAGACATCAAGGCCAAAGTGGCTCTAAACAAGAATCCAGCTGAATCTGAAGCCAGAGAAGAGGAATCAGACGTTCAACGTAAAGCTGACAAGTCAAAGGACGGAGAGAGGGAGACGTCTGGTTCCATCCAGCAGAGAACGAGTCAGCCTCCACCTCCAGGTTTAACTTCATATCATTTCACACGTGGATTCAAATCATCTTTTTTTTTGTCCTTAATCCGTTCATTTAATTCAGACTTCTGTTTTCTGTCAGTGAGCGACTCTGTGACGAAAGAGGTGAAGAGCTACGGACCAGAGCAAAGGAGGCGGGACGTTTCTGAGATGTACCAGAGAACTCAGAGGTACCGTGAGAAAATAATGATCCTGCATCGTTCCTCCACCGAAACAGACGGAGCTGTGAGGGTTAAAGTTTTAAAGGAAAACATTTCTGTTTGAATGTTTGAACTTTAAGTCGTGTTTTAGAGATAAACCCTTTAGAACACTCGATTTATTATCAAGTGTATTTGTTCTCTTTAGCTCACTCCGCTGCCGAGGCCCAGTGTCTTTAGGAAACCACATTTAAATTCACCACCATGAATTATTCTCAGAAATCAAGAAAAGCTTCATCCCATAATGTTCTCCCCGACCCGCACACATCTGTCCTCAGACTGTACCATCAGCTGGAGGAGGTCAAGCAGCAGAAAACGATCCGGAGCCGACAGGAAGCTTCCGCACAAAATCGACTGAAGGCCAAAGAATTCCACAAGGTAAAAAAAAAACAACCTGTTGACGTTAAAACTACGATTCAGTTGTTGTTGCATTGAGTTTAATAGAATATTTGTTTTGTTCCGTCTCTTCACAGAAAACTTTAGAGAAGCTTCGAGCCAAGCAGACGAAGCAGTGACTCAATGTGAACGTTCTAGTTTTATCAATAAAGTATTTAAGTTATTTTAATCTTGTGCTCAAACTGAATTTTTAAAAAGTAACAGGTTATTAAAATCTCAGGCAACTTTCAGATGAGTGTCTTTTAATTAGAAAACATTCATGAGGTCATTTACAGACGTTACTGTTTTTAAATGTTAAACTGAGAAAGTGAGCTGAGTGAACGCTCACTGTCGATTTGATGCAGAGTGTGACGTCCTGTTTTCAGATGCTCCATACCGACATCGATACAGATCTTTGGGATGAAATCCGTCAGCTCCCCCTGGTTCAAGCCTCCCTCTCTGAATCTCTCCTCCTCCTCTCCTCTCCTCTCCTCCTCCTCCTCTCCTCAGATTCTCTGTTAGTTTTTTTAGATGTGTTAGGAGCTCAGATCTCAGGAGTAAAAACAGCAGCTTCTCGTTGAGGTTTCACAGTTTGGAGAAAGTCATGGTCTTGGGACTCTTCTTCTCCATGGACGCCTGAGCTGATTTGATGACATCATCGGTCTGAAGCATGCTCATGTTCCACGTGGCCTGTGGGGGGGGGGG